CAATGAGCTCCAAACAAGATTAGAGCCTCCACTCCCCACAGAAACCCACCAAGCAGTCTTTGCACAGCATGCTTCAAAATACATCTCAAAGGTATGTCTGCACTGACAACTACAAGCAAGGCTAAGCCCACTTCTAACCAGACCTGTTCACACCCTCTACTGCCTATACCAGCCCCTCAAAATTGAGCTCTCTGGGGAGAGGAACCAAGACAACCAAGCAAATGAGTCCACATGCCAATGTCTTCATGCAGATCAGTCCAACAGCAGATTTCCTAAACTCTGTTCCTCTCAAAGCAAGTGCCTTGTTCCTGGGGTGACAACTGAACCTGGACAGAAAACAAGGGACCTAAGGAAATGTAAGACCAATCCCAAGCCTGCTCTCCATTGTGTGGGCAGAAACCAGTTTAGGAACACAGGAAACTTCTGTTCTGACCCAACCAACCTTCTGATACTGCTCAGTCTCACACAGGAATGGCTGGACTCTCCCCATTGTCTTAACTACAATGCCCAGTTTATTTTACAGGGTGGAAACATGCCTGTGTGTACTCTCCTGAAGCCACTGAAGCATGTCACTGCTTGTTCAGCATCTTACAGCACTACCACATGCCACCACAGTCATTACAAAATCCCATTGTATATAAGCTCCCTGTCTCTGGCTGTTGCCTCTCAAGGTCCAACCGAGTATTTCCTTGTAAAACACCTGTTAATTTGCGAGATTCACAGATTTGAGAAAACTATCTAATTGCTAAAGCCAGTGACAGAAAACCACATGGGCTCACTATAGCTGCAGAAAGTCTTTGAGCTTTAGGTTTTGCCCAACACCAAGACAAAGAAGGAAATCCTGGCCCCACATAGTACCAGAAGAGCCAGACCATCAGCCCGAGCATGGCTAGTCCAAGGTTTTTAATCTTTCCTTGCAGGTCCTGAGCCAGCAGAGTAGCACAGTCTGTGCCAGCCCTCCCAGGACTCACAGGCACACACAATCTGCAGGGAGAAGTCAGCCTGACCCTGATGTTACAGTCTTAGCACCACCCAAGTGTCCCACCCCAGAATCAGACACGTCTAATGGAAAATAAAAGGGTCCCAGGATAGTAGGTTTGTTTTCCTTTAAAAAACAACCAACCAACCAACAATCCCCTTGTTTTTCAAGTCTACTCATTTGAGACCTATGTCCTCCTATCCCACCTGCTCCTTCCCTCCTCACTGGCTACCAAAGCCTTTTCTCCAGACATACAATACATTTGGTCTATAAAGAGACCATTCTCCATGTACAGCTGCATTTGAGTAACTCTCAGAGGCTCTGAAGCACAGCCAACACGCAGAAATATAAAACCCAAGAGGAATGAGTCTTGTTTCACCTGGGACAGGTTTACCTTACACACAGCTCTGTTCTCTGAGGGAGCTGACCCTTCCCACTAGCCATAAGATGCAGGCATTTTTGACAAGATGCTTCTGGACTTAAACCTAACCAGAGGCTCTTGATTTTGAGGGAAGAGGGGGTTAAGCACTATTTTGCTGAAAAAGAACCACTGATGCCCTGTATTTCTGTGGTATTTCCACAGTAGAAATCAAAGTTGTCTTTTTCTCAGGTCTAAAAGAAAAAACATGTATTAAAGCACAACATGAAACAGATGATAAATCACTTATAGTTGGTAGGTATTACGATATGATGATCACAAGTGCTGAATAAAATGCCTGAACAGAAGATAATAGAGAAGGGATGAGCTCCACAGTTCTACAGTCACCACAGTGGAGACTACACACATGGGGCAGCGGGGTGAAAGCAGGAGAGCTGTGCTAGACTCTCTGTAACCCACAACAATTTCATGCCAAATACACAGCCTGTAATATGAAATTCCCACAATGAAGAACACACATACAATATTTCCAAAGCAAATTACAGAGGCACCCTGGAAATTCCAGGGCAGAATACAAGGGGACTGTGTCTTACAACATTATTGCAAAACTTGAACTAATATGGAAGGCAGCGTGCTTTGCAGGCTTTTGGGAAGCACACCACATCTGTGTTCTGCTGCTTTTCTCCATGGCCAGCTGGCTTTGAGATGGAATCAGAAGGATTAGCCCTAAAAGAACCTAAATCAGATCAAACAGCCCCTGTGGTCATTAGCCATGGTGCTCCTCCAAGGGCTGGTGTAGCGAAGAGTGAATGGGCTTTGAAATGCCCCTCTTTTCTTGAACTCTAAGATGAATTCAAACTTGGTTTTGCTATAAGGCTTGGGCTAAAAAGACAGAGAAGAGCAACACTAACTCAGCCTAGCACAGAATTACAATGCCTGTCCTGAAATTCAATACAACATCGCAGTTTCCTTCTCCCCTTTGGTTTATATCAATAATCTAAAACAAAGTATAGAAAAATGAAAAACCAGCAAAAGAAAGGACATGAAGCATGCATTAGAGCAGTGGGTGCTACCTACGCCATCGTTTCTTTACTGTTGCCTCTTAATTCATTGTAAACTAAGAAAGAAGCCTATGAACTGCTTCTAAATTGTGTGCTCACCTGAGTAACTGGCAGGACGGCTTATAATTGAAGCAGTATCTGTTTCTTGCTAATCACTGCAGTACCCTCTTTGCCAGCACCCTTAGCATACGTAACCGTATAGGTCAATCATTCATACAATGCTCTCTTCTTCTAACCTAGTTTAGTGTACGATATGTAAGTTTACTCTCACATGGGACAGCTGGTCTACATTCACACACAGAACAAAACTCTGCACGTAAACTGTGGCTAAAATCTGCTGGAAGCATAATGAATAACCAGAGCAGCTTGGAACAAAGCAGACAGAAAAAATGGGATAAACACCCGATTTGATACCTACATCAAACCTTTATTAAGCTTCTTTAAGCTTAACAACCTTCTGCCAGCTGCAGCCATGTATGGAAAGAAAAAGGAAACTTCTTCTTCCATGTCCTTTACAATGGAAAAATAATTTTCCTGATTTTTATGGTGATTAGGTTGTTCAGGGAATTACAAGACTGAGTCTATCTTCCATCATCTTATGTAACTTAGTACTAATGGTTTTAAAAATGACAGAGCTATGGCACTTGTTCTGATCTGCTCTGCGAGATGACCCACACACCATACACAACTGCTCCAGCATTTTCTTTCTCAAGTAATCCCATTAACACAGTGTAGAATCCTCAGACACCATCTCAATAACTTCTCCATGTTCAGGCTTTGTATCATTTTTCTCTTGTCCTTAGGACTCCTACCTCTTCTTAACTGCCATCTCTTCATGCTCCTTTCCTGCACCAATGAGTAACCCTAGCCTGCATAATACTCCTATCGATGCTACTTGGCCACATCCAGTCTGCTGGATCATAGTGGTTTTTGCCCTTTGTTGTACTGTCAGGGCAATTTTTAAGAGCTCCATTCAGATAAACAAAACATATCCTGCTTTCATTGCCTGGCTTTGATGTGACAAACCTTGAGCTCTCTCCATGTGCAGAGCCAAGGCGACTGGAGCACATAAGACTGATCTTTGCAGTTATCTGCTCTTGGTTCCACAGTCAGAATATATTGCAATGGGTTTGTGGAACAAACTGACCTGGTTTTGTTTCTCTTCAGATCTGCACTGAGCTCTTTAGATTAAACATGATGTCTCATCCTAAGTGACTCACTCCTGTAGCCAGCTAAATTCAAACTGTCTTCTTTAAAGCCTGCAATCTAAACAATACATTTTATTGTCACAGCTACGTGGACATTAGTTAAACCAACTTTACAGTCTGCAAACAACCACACAACGTTGCTGGCTTATGTGGCTTTGGCAAGAACACGGCACTTTTTAAGCACTGTCACCTCTTGCTCCCAAACACTCCTGCTGCACTAACAATTAGCAGGTCAGGCCAGCATCCCTGCTGAAGAGTTTACACAAAGCCATTCCTGCACACTGGCAGGGAAAGAGATTCCTAATAAGGCAGACAAAGCTGCCCTGTGCAATGGGACAATACACAGACACCACATCAGGCTGAGCTCATGAAGAACCTACAGAATCCTCTATGAACACAGCTCAGTTCTGTGAAAGCTCTTGTAGGATTTCATGCTCCTTCTGCCAGTGGACTCCCCTTTGTATCTGACTCATTGAAGTCTCCAGATGCAACATTCACACTGTGGGTTTGTCCCCTCAGAACAACCCAAGCCACTTACAGTGAGAGGACAAGCTATTGTCCCAAGGATAATATAAGTCCTCCTAACCAAATGGAAGCAGCAAGGGACAAGGGAGATCATCACAGGATCCCACCCTTCCAGCACTACTGCCCAATTTGGGCGTCAGTGGCCAGCTTGCTCAGAAGTCCAGTACCCTTAACATGAAGAAAGTTATTTTCAGGTCCTCTCCTACAAATATTTGATTTTGCTACAATGCCTTCAGTAACCTGCAATAATTGTCCATGTTTCCAATCCAGATCTCAAAGCACATGAAGAAGCTTTTCTTTCACCTTCTGCAGTGAGTTAAAGCAAAAACAGAGGGATGAAGAAATGCCATGTCTTGAAATCCAACCTTGTGCTCAATCTAGACGTTGACTCTGTCCATGATAAACAGAGTAACCAGCTGGTGGGAGGACACAGTGCAGCATTCTGAAACACTGTGCTATTAGAGTATCATCTACTGATAGCTTCTTTAAATGACCTTTAAATGAAGTATATGCAGCCAACAGCCTGTTAGTGACATAGTCTTTCTGTGTCTGCAAAACACCATCAGTTTTCTCTGTATCAATTGCAATTTCCTAATTACTTTGAAGAATAAAACACTAAAAAAAAAATAGATTAGATTTCTGGTATGTTGGGGAGTAAAATTTAGACTGCATGCTACACATCTATGGTTACATATTCCCTGTTATTTTTCAGTTATTCTGGCATAGGTAGGTTAGTCCATACTGATTCTTGGACCTGCCCATAATTGGGATAACCAAGTTAGATAAGTTACCATGGAAAGCCTTTGCAAAATGTATAACTTTTATTTCTCTCATTAAAGAGAACTTACCTTTAAGGACTCCCAGAGGGGAAATTGTACCAGAGAGAAAGGAATCTGGAGAGGTGGGAAAAGAAAAAACAACGTAATGTTAGAAAAGCAAATGAGGTTGGCATGTTCCTCCACTGGCTAAATTAAGAACAGTTACTGTTCACTCAGAGAACTGCAGCTTATTACATTTACAAATCTTTACGGACACTTAATGTACGTTGCCATTAAATGACTGGTTTCACTAAAGCAGTTTTACTTTGTTTATCACATTCCCCGCTGAGAGGTTAATGTATTGTTACCAGGGTGGCCTACAAGAGCAATAAGCAGTATGATCTAGTGCAGGGACATTCCTGGTTTGACGCTTAGCCAAGGAAGCCATAGGGATGGTTCAAGAAACATGTTCCAAAGACCACGGTCACAGCTTGGTAAAAATACATCTTCAGCAACAGACACTCTCACAAAGGCTGAGCTGAGAACAGTTGTGCTCCAACCAACGCTTTGCAGTTGAGCATCAGCTGCGGAAGCTTTCTCCGAGTAATCTCATGTTAAAAAGCCCCCTTGAGAGTTAAAAGCAGGATGTGAAGAGCTACCACAGTCAAATAAACTCAAAGGAGAAGCTTGATGGTTCTTGTCTCCCCACGTATAATGAGAGGTTCTTCTGTCTAGCAACAGCCTGTATCTCTGCCTAGGTTTATTCTTATTGCCATGTGTCCCCAGCAATGCCTGTGCCTACTTTGTAGATTTTGCCCTGATAAACACCTCATGACCAGCTTAACACTCTTAACCAACTCTTGACATGTGGCGGGGAAAAAGCAAACACACATTGCTGTCAGCTCTGTAGGCTCTGCAGGGCAAACATACGGAGTAAGTCAGTTTTCACCATAAACAGAGTGATTCTTTGCAACAAGAGACATCGCTTTCCAAGATTATACCTTCCCTTATAATTTCTTCCTCCCTCCTCCATTCTCTCCACTAAGTTCTTCTGTATCTTCCTCCTCCATCACCACTATGACAAGCCATGTCCAGTATCTTTCTCTGGCGCCACCCCTGCCATCTCCAGCCCAACAATCTATCTCAAGACATCTTGGAGATAGGGGTCCCTAGGAAAATAGTACTGTGCTAGAGTTGCCCTACAGATGTATGTGCAGGTCTGCTTTGCCCCTTCCTAAATTCATCTGCAGTTAACTTCTCCACTTCAACAGCCGGTCAAGCCCCGGTTTCAAATCTTCTTCCAAGTATCTATTTGCTTCTCCTACTTTTAACTTTCTTCCCCAGACACTATGCATGTTGGGTCAGTTTCCCCCTTAGGCTGATTTGCAGTTTGTGCATCATTTTATCAGTCTCAGAGAGCACTTACGCACCTTTTGCCATGGAGTAGATGCTCAACATGGGTCACATTTAACTAATACATAAATCTTTGATCTTTGTGAGTAATGTCAGGTTAAAAACATTCACTACAGAGAGACAAACTGCTTATTAAACCCAAATTCACACTACACAAAGGAATTTACAATGGTACATCCATTAAACATCACAAGAGCTAAAGAGTCCTGTCTGCCTCACTGTGTTGCAACTAATGATTAATAAATGAGTCTATTAGGTTAATTTGCCAGGCAAAACGAAGCTTGACAGGCACCTGCCACAGAACATTTGTTATCTATTCGGGCAGGAAATGGCAGTGAGAAGAAATCAATGTCACTGCTGTACATTGAGCTGACAAACTGAAATCTCAGAGGAAGTTTGTCATCTTGAGCAATGAGCAATATCCCTGGTGGCAGCTCTGAGCCCCACAATAAAGGTCAGACATGGCTCTTATTTATCAGGGCCTTGAAACTCTACTGTAGCAATTAAATTTTCCTTTTAATACTGGGTGAAAAAGCCCAGCTATTTGACAGTAATGTGTGGTAATATATTTATGAGAAGATATATATATATCCACATGCTGCTGCATCATTGTTGAATTGGAGTTAAATGGCATGATTTCTTTGCCATGTAAAATGAAAAGCAGCATAATCTATTATCTAGGCCAAAAAACAGGGAAAAAGGAAACAATACCCACTACATTTGCTTCAAATTTGTTAAAAGAGAGAAAAGGAAACGCTCTGTATCCAGCTGTACACCAAACAAAACAAGCTTTCAAACACAGCCTCCAAGTTTCGCTTTCCTATGCTCATGAAGGAGTGGTAAAATTCTGCAGCTGTTAACAAGACAACAAGGGAAGCTTTTGACATAAACCCCTTTTTATCTCCCAGCTCGAAGCATTTCAATCAGAGAGGAAATTTGTTCTCGACCACTGTTTGATTTTCGGTGTTCCTGGTGCTTGCTTTCCATGTCCTGCTCAGCAGGGACCCGACCTGGATGGGGATTATCTGTTTCACTTTTCCCCGTGTGCCCCAGGAGCTGCTGCTATGCACAGGCTTCCAAAATGCCTGGGAATAGCATGGATGTATGACAGTGGGATCTGCACAGCCACGGGACTCCGTCCTCTCTAGGATGCCTGCAGGATAAGGGCCTAAACATCCCTAAACCTGAAAAAAGCAAACAAACTGGGAAGCTTCGCCAACAAAAACATGCAGAGCAGCACCTTTGCATGCACTAAGATGATACTAAGGAGATGTCCTCCATTTTTTACAGTTATCCATTGCAGCCTGTTTGACAACATCCTGATTTAAAAGCGAAACCCACACAAGCAATTTCATGGGTACTGGAATGGAAGGGAATCTGGCTTCCTCCAGGTTTTGTCATCAGATTCACTGAAGCCAAATAATTTCCAAGCTGTGGTCATCGATCTTTTCGAGATGGGGAACTCCATCACATTTCCCCTCAACATTCCACAGCCCCTGTTGAAAGTTCAGTTCCAACTGCAAGCCTTTCCCAAACACCTTTATCATCTTTGTTCTCCTCTCACATTCTTCTCTTCAAGAAACTCAGAGGAACTTCTCTTTGCTGCTTCTGCTTTTCCACCCCATTTCTGTAGCCAGAGTGTCCAAGGGCTGCACAGGCTGCCATGCATTCATGTGGGCATACAACCCGTTTGCATAAACCTTGTTTCTCTCAGAGACCAGACTAAGCAATCCACACCCAAAGGCAGGATTAATATATGCAAAAATTAAATAGCTCTGCAAGGGTAGCTCATCCAACAAAGCCTTTAGATGGCTAATTGCCCTTTATTCCTCTACCACGACAGAGGTGACAAAATCTCCCAGGCTGGAGACACTTCTTAATTTGAACATTTACAGCATTTTATTCCTTTTCGTACTTTGCTTCGTAAAAGGAAAGCTTTTCAGCAATGAACAGAATCACACCCTGCCAGACAGCAATATTTATGCCTGAAATAGGGTAAGACAACAATAAAAATGTGGTCCGCACATGTGGGTAACTCTGTGCCAGCAAATATGAAACCCTGGCGAGCTCCACCACCCTCTCATTCGATGTTAATATAAAATAGACAGAGAGTACCAGTTCTCATGCCTGGCCTAATGTTATATAACTGTGCTGTTTGTTCAACACAGTCAGCTCTTACACCAAAAAAAGAAAGAAGTTTAAAGCCCCCAGAGTGCTGTAAATTGTTGCTCTGAAATGTTTTCTAGGTTAGTGACATTCTCATTTATTGTGGTCCCTGTAGTCCTCAGCACCTGATGCCTAACTTAATGTAATGAATGTTGCAGGTTCTTATTTCTACAGATCTGCTTAATTCCCCTGATACAGGAATTTTAAAGAGTCATTTTAATAAGCTGCTTCTACCAAGAGTCTCACTTCATAGCCAGAGCAACAGACACACACATCTCACTCTATGAAAACACCAACCTGAAGATGGATGACAGAGCAAAAGTCCTACAATCACGTACTTTTTAATTAAGTAAAAGCAATTTACAGCAGAGCTTAATAATACTCATTGTAGCTACAACACATTCTAATGAAACTCAAAATTCACCCATTCGCTATCTGATGCTAAACTGCAAGCTGACATTGTCCCAAAGGAAATGCAGCAGCCAGGGAGCAAGGAGAGGATGCTGAAGGAGTGGCAAAGAGGGGGAGGGAGAACCAAAAGGAAAAAAAAACCCAACCAAACCAACTCATCAGCCCCTTCAGAACTGGGATTCCCTTCCAAATATGAGAATTCTTTCACACAAAGAGGAAACAGATGTCCACGTCTGGAATTTGCATGTGGCTTTATTCTCTTCTAGGATACAATAAAACTACTCTTCTTCTCATCCTCCAAGCTAGAAATTAAACAGTGGCATGTCATGCAGAGTCCAGCTGTGCTTTCTACCTCCAATCTTTATTAGCAATATATTTAAAAAGAAGAGAGAGAGACAGAAAGAGAGAAACTAGAAAAGCATAAGAAATGAAAAAACTATGTGGTATGTGTTCTCAAAACAATATAAAACCTACAGATGTTCTTACTAATCTGTGGCACATGTTTGTTTATTCAGGTTTTCCCTGTCTCCAGTTCAGCAGGCTTTGCTCTCCAAAACAGCTATCTGTTTTTACAAATGTTAGAGTAAATACTGCAGGAGAGACTGGCATAAACAGTGAGAGGAGGAACAGGCGCACCTTGTAAGAGCAATCTGTGCCCCTGCAACTGTGCCTCCATCCCAGGAACAGCTCTCCCCATTCCTCCACTGTTCCCTATATTAACAGCAATGGGAGGAAAGCCAACAGCTATGAAGAGAATTTTGAGAGTACAAGTATCACAAAGGCTAATGACAAGAACATCAGTTCTTGAACTGCAGTCATGGAGTGGTTCTCAAGCTTGCACCTAACCTATCAGTTGCATGGTTTTTGACAAGGCTCACAGAGACACTGTCATGTTGAAGCCTGTATTTATAAGGAGTACTCCACCACAGTGACTGAGCTGCAGATGCCAAACTGCGCCTTCTCCATTACAATTACAAAAAAATATCTAATAACCCACTTCTGAGTATCAAAGAACATACTGTTTTCCAAGGATACATAAACCACAAACTTCAGGAAAACAATCTTCCCTTTACTGAAGTCCCTTTCACAGTTCTTTTTTTTAAAGTCAGCTTCTTTATAAAAGATGGTTCTCTCAAATAGGTTCA